TAACATTTAAAGTACGAAACCAACATTGTTACACTCTAAATGGGGTTGTACTCACATGTCAGCACGATTATAATCGCTCAGTAATATCTTCACCGTAAATGCAATTTTCTTTGCATTCTATCACAGTGATAAAGAATGCAGGTTTTTACTTGGGTTTTTGCCCTTTTATAAAACAAAGATTTCTTTTTTGCTTTAAGCATATTTATTATTGCTTTAAATAGAATATAATTAATATCTGTAAAGTGTATTCATTACTGACAACATTATAGATTACGATTGAAGAGCAAGGAAAAATCAACTCACTAAAATATTTTGCACTCAAAGATGAAATGGACTACATGTAATGAGGGAAATATGTTGATGCTCAGGATAATTTATAAAGAAAAATTTTGACTAACAGCAGTTCTCAGGATTTAGCCCCTCCCAGCCACTGCTCCCTCCTTGACAAAATATCAAACCTAATTGAACACTTTGCAATGGGCACATTAGCCTCATTTTCTCTCAGTCAGTTGCTGTCACCCTTGGTGTGGTTCCACTGATTAAATGAAATGCAAATATCCTTGGAAAATAACTTCCGTCTCCAAAATATAAAGTTAATTTTCATCTGTGAGAAGCAAAGGAAAAACTGTCTGAGACACAGGTGACTCAGAGTAGGCAGGACTGCCGATGTACCATCAAGGAGAGGTGATGTAGCCAGCCAGCTAGAACCTACATCCAGACTGGGAGGCCCGCAACTGAGTTCTTGGCTCTACAGGATTGGCTCAATGTCCTCATCTGTGAAATGGGTGTAAAAGCTTGAGAGTGTTGTGAGCAGTAATGCACCTGACAAATCCTAAGTGCCCCATAAACAGCACCTGCAGTGATTCTTCTATCACCCACAGTGACGTCATTACGTGATTGTAGAGAGAATCACAAGATAAGAGGAGTGGGAATGCTTGGCCTTGTGACTTCTACATCCTGATTTCTCTACTGACTCGTGTGAGGAGATCACATTATAGAATTTGTGAAGAAGAACTGTAGTGGATTTTTGTTGTTCAGTGGTCCTGCATGAGTTCTGCCTGCATCTCTCCAAGGAGACTTGGGTCCCAGAAGTACAAGGAAGATCTTACGGCAGCCCAGCCAGAGACCTCCGATCTTTAGGATGAGTGTTGTAGAAGAATCGTTTCAAAGCACATTTATATGGTGGTGTCGCAACACCATGCCCACTGGGAGGTCTGGGGCTTGTATATTGCTGATAATTTGTTTTCTGTTGGGAGAGTCACCCACTGATAAATAGTCCGTCCCCACATGTTTTTGAAATGCATTTAAAGGGTTTACCTCTATCTCTTACATGAAGCAAACATCTCTCAAATCATTGGAAAAGTAAAACCACTGTAACACATGCAAGGGGGAAATATTTTCCTTTCCCCTTTCATTTAAAAAAAACCTGCAAAACACAGCAATGAATAATGAAAGGAAAACACACAGAGCCATTCCATTTCTTGGAGGAGGGGCAGAGTAGCTGCAGGGGACAGCTGCAGTGTGTCTGCTGTCCCACTTGTCCCCTTTCCCATCGCTTTATCACTTACTGGATCTGGAATGTAGAATGCCTGATACGATCGTTTTGTGTTTTGTTTTTTGACTTAAATTCTGTGATATGCCTGTGTGCTCCCTGTGCTGAATTCTGGAGCTAACAGGGTCGCTTCTTCATCTTGCATTGAGCCTCCTAAGCAGGTGGCTCTCAGCTCCCTGCCTTTCCAATGAGCCTCCCCCTTTGTCCCCAGACAGAAGAACTCAGGCATGCCTTTGTAAGTGTTTATCAAAGTCATCAAACGCTTCTTACCTCTCACAGGCATTTCTCACTGTGGGTTTATTTGAGTACCAATTGACAGAACATTCACACACCTTTCACTGTTTGACCTTTAACAAGATGACCTCCATTCTGCTAAGAAATAATGGATGTGGTGACTCCTTAGAGAATGTTTGATTCATTTCTGAAAATGTTTTTGAGCTTCTAGGAAAAAAATCTTACAAGTGAATATTTTCTATAACTACTATACAGATTGTTCTATAAAGATCTTAAAGACAATTGACAATTCCATGGTTTATTGCAGTATGAAAACTATCACCTCCTCAAACCCTTTTTCAAATGTTACTTTTTCATAAACAAATCTTCATAATTCTTGAATTTCCTGATATGTAATACATTTTCACAAAATAGTACAACTTTTCAGGGCAACAATTAGAAGTGTAGTTTTTTTAAAAATGTTTATTTATTTATTTGAATGGCAGAATTACGAAGAGAGGAAAGACAGAGGAAGAGAGATCTTCCACCCACTAGTTCACTCCCCAAATGGCTGCAATGGCTGGGTCTGGGCCAGGCCGAAGCCAGAAGCCAGGAGCTTCTTTCAGGTCTCCCATGTGGGTGCAGGAGACCAAGGACTTGAGCCATTCTCCATTGCTTTCCCAGGCGCATTAGCAGGGACTGGATCAGCCGGGGTTCGAACTGGTGCCCGTGTGGGATGCCTGTGCCGCAGGCCATGGTTTTAACTTGCTGTGCTGCTGCACCACAGCACTGGCCCCAAAAGTGTAGTTTTTTTAAAGCATTGCCAGTGTTTTGTTTATAAAAGGAAGAAGAGGTGTGACTCAGTAGCCTACATTGCAGTGTTTATTATCGTTTCTATAAAATCTGCTTAACACTGCTTATCACTTTTAGCGTGTGGGGGCTCTCACAACATAGCTATGATGCTGGCTCATTAAATGTGGAATCCAGACAATTCTGAATCTGGACAAATGATCTACTTTTCCTCTTCAGAGAGTTGCACATTTTCTGAAACTGATAAATAATACATTTCTTATCCAGCCTCCTCCAGCTGAGATGTCTCCATGGGGCCAAATGTTTACCCGGCTCTGCTCATGGGCTGGAGCAGCCAAGTATTGATTAACACAGCACATCATGTCTCATTATGTCAGCCACTCGTCCTCGCCAATAAAACATGACCTGCTGCCATTATGGATTGAGCGGTGTCAGGTCATCCAAAAATGCTCACCAAGGAAATGTTGCTTATTAAATGTATCTAGAACGTTCACCCAAATTAGTGCTGCATTTTATGCAGATGGGGAAACTGAGACTCTGTCTGGAAATGACACTTAGAGAGTCTAGTGCTAGCAAGAGAATTTCTATAATATTGTTAAATTTTTAATTTTTATTGGCTTCAAAGGCAGAGGGACACAGAGAGAGGAAGACAAAGACAAAGGGAGTGAGATCTCCCATCTCCTGGGCCAGGCTGAATCTAGGAGCCAGGAGCTACAGCCAGGTCTCTCACATGGGTGGCAGGGAGCCAAGTACTTGGATCATCGTAGGCTGCCTCACCGAGGCATTAGCAAGAAACTGGATTGGAAGCAGAGTAGCTGGGACTTGAAATCCCACGTTCCGAGAGTTGTATGTCCACAGTGCCAGCCGGTTGTCTGATGAACTTCTCACGTTGAGGAGTTATGACTGCCGGCCCAGCCACTGATAGGTGTAACTAGTTAAAGTTTATGTGAGCTAGAAACTCTAGCACCCTTGTGATACAATGCCATCGCTTTAACTGCTTTTGTTACGCCCACCTTCCAGGACCAGGGCACATGCTCAGACCCCGACCCCCGTAGTCTGGCTGGTTGGCGCCACCCCTTTCCTGACAAAAAGCGGTAGGAGGCAGGGGAGGGCTGCCTTTTCACTCCGACCTGCCTCCAAAGGTACCACTTTCGCTTGCTGTCTTTCTGCTACAGACCAGTCTGTGATGGTCTCGCTGGGAGGGCCCGCTTTGGGGTTTTCTTTCTCAGAGTGGGCAGCACTTTGGCCCACTCCCGATGGGTATTTCCCAGCGTGGGGCGGGCCACACTGGGGCGTGAATGTGTGTCTACTCCCTCACTGTTCTGTTCCTGTTTGTAGAGGATACTAGGCTCCGCTTGGTGTTTCTACCTCTGTGGGAGATGAGAACCTGGATTGGAAGTTAAGATATTCACAGCCCAAATCTCCGTGCTTGGCTCGCCTAACATGTGCTGCTTGTCACAAAGGGCTCGAGAAAGTTCGGGATGTTCACGAGTGAGGAATCTCAAAAACTGAACTCCTAGATGCCCTGAAAGTACAGTGGGGGAGATCATTTTGCCTCAACTCTTGGCAGACCTTTCAAAAAACTGACTCTGTTTCTAAGAATGGATACGATTTCCCTTGTAGACTTCTGTGAAGTTGAAGAGGATAGGACTGACCACAGAAGGCATCAGGAGTGCCAAATTCTTGAATTCCAGCTCTGCCGGTTGGGGTCATAGGATCAACCTGGAAAACACTGGCTAACATTACCCTCATTCACTTGGTCCTAATATGATGCTAATCTGAATCATAAAGCCAGTGTGAGAGCTTGCAGGGGAAACGTTACTCTCCAAAGGGAGGCTCAGCCACAGGCATTTGGAACCGAGGTCTCCTGTGCTCTTCTAGAGAAATCCCACCCTCCACCCTCCACCCTCCCGGAGGCCAGAGCCATCCCTGGTAACAGATCAGCAGGGAGGGAGAGGTCGCGCGGCAGCTGATAAGGAGTTCTGGGTTCTGAATCTGGCCCTAATCCTCATTATATGGCCTTGTTCAAGTTACACAAATCCTTTAGCCTCCATGTCCTCTGTATAAAATGGGGACACAAACTGACACATGGTAAGCACACAATTACATGACTTGTCTTATCCCGAGTGTTAATAACCCTCCTGGAAACAGCCAGAAAGCCAGACGTGATGTTTGGGTCCAAGAGCCTCTCTTTTGGAATAGGAGGAAAAATAGTGGGAAAATTTCTCCTATGTATTTTCTAGCCACGAATTGTGGACACAATTCAGAATTCATTAGATAGAAACTAAATTAAAGTGTCTGTATTCAACTAATAGTAGAAATACTGGGGATGTTACCACAATAAATTTCCACCCAAAACAAAAATAAAAACAAAACCCTGAGTATTTGTCTCTACTAGTAATTTTTTATTGTGTAAAATTTAACTGGATAAAATAAAATAAATCATCAGCTTTAACATTGTAAACTTATAAAATTGCCAAGAATTATGCGAATATTGAGGTTTAAAATTCAAGATTAATTAACATGTTTCTCAGGGAACATTATATTCTTATGACCTCTTACATGCAGAGCATAATAAAAGGATATGCATTCATTAAAAGTACAATGTTTCTTACTTTATTTTGAAAAATAGTTTTAATTTTTTCCAGTCTTATTGAAGTATAGCTAACAAATAATATTGTATAAATTTGAGGTGTTCAGTGTGTTGATTTGAAAGGCTTACCAAAAACCATGGTGGTTAGCACAGGCTTTTGTGTGTGTATGTCTGTATGTAGTGAGGCATTTAAGATCTACTCTTAGCAAATTTCAAGTACACAATATAATATTGTTAACTCTAGGCATCAGGTTGTAGTTAGATCCCCAGAATTTGTTCATCCTTTTTTTTCTTAAAGATTTATTTTATTTATTTGAAAGACAGAGTTACAAGAGAGATAGAGCCAGAGAAAGAGGTCTTCCATCCGCTGGTTCACTCCCCAAATGACCGCAACAGCCAGAGCTGAGCTGATCCGAAGCCAGAAGCCAGGAGCTTCTTCCAGGTCTCCCACGCGGGTGCAGGGGCCCAAGGAGTTGGGCCATCTTCCACTGCTTTCCCAGGCCATAGCAGAGAGCTAGATTGGAAGTGGAGCAGCTGGTACTAGAACCGACACCCACGTGGGATCCGGGCACTGCAGGCCGCAGCTTTAACCTGTTGTGCCACAGCGCCGGCCCCCAGAATTTGTTCATCTTAAAACTGAAAGTTTATAACCTTGACCAACATCTTCTCACTTCCTTCAACCCCAGCACCTGGCAACAGCAACATTACTCTTTACTTTGATGAGTTTGACATTTTTAGAGTCCACATATAAGTGAGATCATGCAGTATTTGTCTTTGTCTTACTTCTCTTAGTAAAATTTCTTCCAGGTTTATCCAGATTGTTGCAGATGGCATGATTTCCCTTTTTTTTTTTTTAAGGCTGAGTAATACTTCATTGTATTTATATATACCATTTTCTTTAACCATTCATCTGTTGATGACACTTTGGTTGTTTCCGTGTCTTCCCTGTTGTGAATAGTGTTGTGTTGAACATGGGTGTGCAGATAACTGTTCAACACATCCTTTTATTTCATTTGGATATACACCGAGAAGTGGGATTGCTGGACCATATGTGCTTATATTTTTGATTTTTTAAAGAACTTCCATACTGTTTCCTATAATGGCTGTACCAATTTATAATCTCACCAACAGTGTTCAAGAATTCTCTCCACATTCTCACTATCTGTTATTGCTTGTCTTTCAGATAATAGCTGTTCTAACAGGGCTGAGGTGATATCTCGTTGTGGTTTTAATTTGTGTTTCCTCAATGATCAGGGATTTTGAACAGCATTGCCTATTTGTGTGTCTTCTTTGGAAAAATGTCTATACAGTCCTTTGTCATTTTTAAATTGGATCATTAGTGCTTTTGTTACTGAGTTGTATGAGTTCCTTATATATTTTGAATACTACCTCCTTATTAGCTATATGATTTGCAGATATTTTTTCCATTCCATTTTCATTTTCATTTTTTCACTTCCTTGCTTGTTTCCTTCATTGTGTAGCATAATGTTAGTTTCTTTATTTTTAGATTTTGCTTTTGTTGTCTATGCTTTTGATGTCATATCCAAAAAATGATCACTAAGATCAATGATAAACAGCTTTTTCCTCATTTTTCTCCAAGTAGTTTGTAGCTTCAGTTCTTAAGTCTTTAACACATTTCAAATTGATTTTTGTGAATGGCATAAGAAAGTTTTTGGTCCACAGTTGTTGAATGCACAGATATTAAACCCAAGCATATGAAGGACTGACTCTTATTTAAAATCAGGAAGTGCATTGTCTACAGCTTTGTTCTTTATCATGATTGCTTCTGCTATTTATTGCCTTTTGTGACTTCTCATGAATTTTAGAACTGTTTTTTCCTATGTGAAAAATTCCATTAGAATTTTGATAGGGGTTACATTGAATACATAGACTACTTTGTGTTATATGGACATTTTAGCATTATTAATTCTTCTCATGAATAAAACATGAGATGTCTCTCCATTCATTTGTGTTTTCAATTTCTTTTATCAGTGTTTTATAGTTTCAGGGTACATAGCTTTCACATTGATTAAATTTACTCTTAGGTATCTTTTCCTTTTGATGCTATTACAAATAAAATTATTTTCATACTTTTTTTTTCAGATTGTTTGTTGTTGGTGTACAAAAATGAAACTGATTTTTCTGTGTTCATTTGGTATTCTGCAACTTTACTGAATTTGTTTATTCTAACAGGTTTTGAGTTTTTTTTTTTTTTTTGGTGGAATCTTTAAGATTTCCTTTAAGTAAGATCATGTCATCTGTTACAGAGAAAACTGTACTCCTTCCATTCTAGTTTAGATGCCTTTTAATTCCTTTTCTTGCCTAATTGCTCTGGCTAGCACTTCTAGTACTATGTTGAATAGAAGTGATAAGAGTGGGCATTTTTGTCTTGCTCCTGTGAGTAAATTTTTTTAAATTGTGGGTTAGGACAGAAACTGGTGCTACCTACTTCCATATCTTCAGTTATCACATTAACATATTTCCACTTATTCGTTCAAAAATAATTATTGAGTACGTAATATGTGCCAGACTGGATAACATGATTATATGGGATATAGTGGTAAATAATAGCGAGAAGAAGGGAGATTAAGTGCTTCTATACTAGACATTCCATCTTAGCATTCAAGGTGCTCCTCTTTTGTTGGAACTTATATTTATGTGTCCATTCTTGATAAGTCTCGTGGAAAGCTTTATAAACACTGTCAGTGATGTACAGAGCAGGACAAAGCTCAGACACAGGTCAAGAGCTTGAAGTGTCAAGTGGTACTCTTCATAGTGTGGCGGGTCGACACAAATTGATGGGAATTTTGCATATGGAAAAGGGAAGGCAACTGCATAACCAAGGTAATTGGTCCCTGCAGTCCCTGAAAATGAGTAGAAGCAATAAGGTCCAAGGAGAGCCGATTTCAAGGCTATTGCAAAATGAAGTGGGCATCCCATTATGCTCAGAATCACAAAGGTGAAACTAGCTTCCCACTGAAAATAAAGCAAAAACAAATGATGACTTTGGAGATCAGCTATTACAACATAAGCATCTTAGCAACATGAAGAAAGGAAGAGATTCCAAGGTATTAATCTCTCCTACTGGAAAAGGCAGGAAAAAGGGGTCACACTATCTCTTGCACTCTAATGTACAATATGGGTGAGTAACATATCAGCCAAGTGAGGCAAAGATGAAATCAATTCAAGTCAACGGACATTTATTTATCTCCTGTCATGTGTGCAGGATGGATGTGGACTGGAAAAAACAAAGATGAGTAAACAGAATCTCTACTCAAGGACTTTGCTACTCAGGACGTGTTCCATGATCTGCTAACACTGAAATCCATGGGGGCCTGTCAGAAATGTAGACTCTCAGGCCCCATCCTGATCTACTGAATCAGAATCTGCGTTTTAACCAGATCTCCAGTTGATTTCTTCATACATTAAATTCTGAGAAGTTCTGCCTTAGCCATGGGAATGAAGTTGATCATGACATAAGGCAGTCTTTCTGTATCATGAAATTGCCTGGTATATTAGGTTATTAAAATGCAAGATATCATAGACTTACCATTCCCTTTCAGAGATAATAGTAGCAGGGAAATTAGGAGGAGACCTCAGAGTGAGAAGTTAAGAATTGACAGCACATTATTAAAAGCACAGACATCTGTAAGCTCATTCCTTCAAAATGAAATTTGGAAGCACAAACACTGGTACTGTCCTCCTCAAATACAGTAATAATCATGAGAACTTGTAGAAAATGTTTGGAGGCCGGCGCCACGGCTCACTAGGCTAATCCTCCACCTTGCGGCGCCGGCACACCGGGTTCTAGTCCCAGTCGGGGCGCCGGATTCTGCCCCGGTTGCCCCTCTTCCAGGCCAGCTCTCTGCTGTGGCCAGGGAGTGCAGTGGAGGATGGCCCAAGTACTTGGGCCCTGCACCCCATGGGAGACCAGGATAAGTACCTGGCTCCTGCCATCGGATCAGCGCGGTGCGCTGGCTGCCACAGCGGCCATTGGAGGGTGAACCAACGGCAAAGGAAGACCTTTCTCTCTGTCTCTCTCTCTCACTGTCCACTCTGCCTGTCAAAAAAACAAAACAAAACAAAACAAAAAACAGAAAAAATGTTTGGAGAAGGAATCAGATAAAAATTATTCATTTAAAGCATAGTTTCTTACTGAAATCCAGTAAGGCCTTAATGAGATTGAATTGTATTGTAATTTGGAAATCACACTCTCTACATTTGATTCTGAACTGATAGTTGTTGGACCTTCACAGCCATTCTGCCATACTACTTGGCATCTATATAGTTACCAGGGATCGCTGGGTCCACTCTTTGTAAGCCAATAGTAGAAGCACACCAGCCGTGATGGCCTGTGAAAAGAAAATGAAAAAATAACATCCACGATAGAAGGTACCTCTGGAAAGAGCCCAATCTGTCTCACAGTTTGACAACTTTATCATGAACTAGAAGGAACAACAAATGGCTAAGTGGATTTATGGTTCTGATCTCTTCTTCATCCGTGGAAGAAACTGTGATGACAATGAGAAAAACAAGCCGTTAGTGTCATAAAGCCATGATTCACACAAGCTCGTATGGTTCTCTGCATTGCCTTTGCCATCACAGTCATAACCTCTGCTACTGTAAGGCGACAAGATAATAGAAGCTTGGCTTTATAACCCTTGCCATATGTTTTGATTAATTACCTGTTTTTTTTTTTTTATCTTTCTCACAAATTACTAAAATTGCAAGTGGGAGGAAGCAGAATTGAACCTGCTGTATGACAGTGCTTCCCAGTATTGGCATTATCTTTTCTATTTGCTTTCTTTTGATATTCTGCAACCTCACTCTGCAGGGAGGGTGTACAAAAGCAGGATGTTGTTTCTCAAGTAACAACGATTATCACTATGCTCAACGCATATATGGCATTTATTGTTCTGGGTGCAGTGCTGTCCAGCATTTCAAGACAGTTTATTTATTTATTTTTAATAGTCTCCATTGAGGGAAAAAGACCTGATGTGCGGAATGAGGATAGTTAAACAAAGGTTGGAGTGGTGTCACCAGAACTGAGCAACAAATAATGGAAAAAATCTCTGGGCTCATCTTTGATTAATTCATTAGATTAACTCATTAAATTCAGGTCTGAGGAAAGAGACCTTTGTGGTCATTGAGACTGAAAATAGCTTGTTCTCAATCCATATAAACCATTTGTTCTTGGTCAAGGAATGTTTTGAGGTTGGGAGAGAAAACCAGGGAGAGATGTACCTAAAATAAGATATCGAATGTGGACAGGCCTAAAAATAGTACAATCTTGGCTTTTCACAGAGGAATAAACATGGCCGTATGTATAAAATCAACAAATTTTACGAGGGAGAAATCAGCAGTTTTACCAGTATGGTTTTGTGGTATGTTGCTGTTGTAGCTCCAGGCCTGGCGTATTTATTGTTTTGAGACTTAGTTCTTCATTTCCCTGGCATATTTTGTTGTGAGTGTTGGATTTAGAGACAGAGAGATACACACACGCACACACAGACTCACACAAAACTTCTCATATAGCTGGGCCTGAAATTCCAGACTTGGCATGGCCATACCATAAAACTCCCTTGGACAAAAACAGAACCATCTGTAGTCAAAAGAGGTTTGATTCTGGCTTGATTCTGTAGCACAAAAGTTTCCAAGGGACCCCGTGGAAATTGGGCCAGCATAAATAGTACAATAAAACAGGAGAACGATTGAGAGCAACTGTAACTATGAGGCTGCGGGGTAGGCCCTGGGCTCCTATGTGCTTTCTGAGGCATGGCCCTGGATGAACACATCCCTCCCCTGTCATTAAACAAAAAGAGAAAGGTGGAAGCAAGATAAAAGCGGAGCCTCTCTGCTGGTTTAACTCCAAGTAGATAGAAGACATTATCAAATGCTTAGATTCCAGGTTGTCTTAATTACCTTGGCATGAACTGTTTCTTTCCTTTTAAACATTGAAAAATGCTGCAAAATTACAGTTGCCTGTTATTTCTGTTGTAGCTGTCAGCTTGAATTTTGCTTTGTTTACACAAAGCTTTGAAAAAGATCTTTCATGGAGTAGCTGAGTATGAATTCCATTCAGTAACTTGTTAAATCCACCCTGTGGATATGATGGTGGCTAAAGTGCTAAGCACACCCATCTTTATGGTACCATGCACGGGAGATGATGTACATGGTATTTCCTCTCCCCTAAGAGTCACAACATTACCCTTTTCTTTCCTTCATTTTGCTTTTTAAATCTTTTTTTTAAGCAAAGATTTATTTATTTATTCATTTGAAAGGAGAGTTACAGAGAGATGAGCACAGAGATCTTCCATCTGCTGATTCACTCCCTGATTGGCGCCAGTGGATGAGGGCTGGGCCAGGCAGAAGGCAGGAGTCTGGAACTCCATCTGAGTCTCCCTCATGAATGGCAGGGGCATAAGTACTTGGGCCGTCTCCTGATGCTCTCCCAAGTGTATTAGCAGGGATCTGGACCAGAAGCGGAGCAGCTGGGACTTGAATTCATACTCAGATATGGGATGCTGGCTTTGCAGGTGATGCTTAACGTGCTGCACCACAATGGTGGCTCCATGTTTTTTTTTTTTAAATCTTATTTCTGGAAATACAAAGGAAGAGATTTGAGAGTAGGGAAGACAAGTCAACAGGGAAAAGGCAATGTGAGAGAGGGGATGATTGAGAGGTCAAATGTTATTCAAAGCAAGGCGGCCAGGCTGGGTCAAGGACAGGGTGGAGGGTGTGTGCATGGCAGTGAGTGGGGAAGGGTATGGCTAAATCTTGTACTCCCCTTACTCCCTCGGCTCTTGTTGACTTGTTATTGAGCTGCTTTCCAGGCATATCAAGGGATATTACTTAGGTTTTACAACAATTTCTGCTAACACTTTGATCACATTAGTTTTGAGCCTTCCTTCTAAATCTTTAAATTGTAGTAAAGGATGCAGTTCCCAGAAGCAGATGAATTGAAGGAAGCAGGGAGCAGTCACAACAGAAATAGAAACTTTAGAGGCATCACATTAATTGCAGGATAATTTATTCACATACAAGCATCTATTGTGAGTCTACAACAAATAAGGGATGTGATGACCACTATGCAGATAAAATAACGATACTGTTACCATTTATTGAATGCTTAATATATGCCAGGCACTATGGAACTCATTAAATCCTTATAAGGATCCAGTCAAGTATTATATTCTTTTTTTTAAAGATTGTTTTATTTATTTGAAAGTTAGAGTTACACAGAGAGAGAAGGAGAGGCAGAGAGAGAAAGAGAGAGGTCTTCCATCTGCTGGTTCACTACCCAATTGACTGCAATGGCCGGAGCTGTGCTGATCCAAAGCCAGGAGCCAGGAGCCTCCTCCAGGTCTCCCACACAGGTGCAGGGACCCAGGAGTTAGGCCATCTTCTACTGCTTTCCCAGGCCATAGCAGAGAGCTGGATCAGAAGTGGAGAAACCAGGACTTGAACTGGTGCCCACATGGGATGCCGGGACTGCAGGTGGCAGTTTTACCTGCTACACTACAGTGCCGGCCTTTGAGTATTATATGCTATATTCTCCAACTTTTAAAATGAGGCCCAGAGAGGTTAAATGAGATGAGCAGGATCCTCAAATAATAATTGTACAAACAACAACTTCAACTCTAATTGGAAATTACAGTTCAGATGTGAAAATACACATATAAGAATGTCCACAAAATTGGGCAAGAAAGATGAGTGCTTTCTATAGGAGAAGAGCTTGATGATAAGATGCCATATCCAGGAGAAACATTGATCGTGAAGGCACCATGGGGAAATAAGATCTGAAGTGAGTTTGAATGATGGCTGTGATTTCAGTGGGAGATGGTGGAAAGAGGGCAGTCCAGGTGACAGGAGTAACCCACACAAAGGTGGAGATGTGACAGTTATGCATAGAATCAGTTAAGGAGACCACAGTGGCCAGAGTGTCATTTCCTGGTGGATAAGAAGAGATAATCAGGTATGAAGGCCCTGTAAAGCCAGGGCGAAGAAGGCCTCAATTCATCTGGATGTTGTTTGGGGACAGGGAAGTTTTTTTGTTTTGTTTTAATTAGCTTATTTATTTGAAATACAGCATTACATAGAGACAGGGAGATACAGAGAAAGAAAGAGAGGAGCCTGATTTGTGGTGCAGCAGGGAATGCCAATGCTGGCAATGCTGGCATCCCATATGGGCACTGGTTTGTGTCCTGGCTGCTGCACTTCCAGTACAGCTACCTGCTAATGGCCTGAGAGCGCATTCAAAGATGGCCCAAGTACTTGAGTCCCTGCTAAGCACATGAGACACTCAGAGGAAGCTACTGGCTCTTGGCTTCTGCCTGGCCCAGCCCTGGCTATTGCAGCCATCTGGAGAGTGAACCAATGCATGGAAGATCTCTCTCTGTCTCTCTTTCTATGTAACTCTGCATTTCAAATAAATGAATAAATCTTAGAGAGAGAGAGGGGTCTCTCATCTATTCGTTTATTCCCCATATGGCCCAATGAATGGGGTTGGGACAGGCTAAAACAGGGAACCTAGAACTCTATCCAGTCTCCCACATGGCTGGCAGGGACTCAAGCACTTGGGCCATCTTCTGTTGATTTCCCAGGTGCATTAGTGTGGAGCTGGATCTGAAGTGGAGTAGATGGGACTTGGAATAGGCACTGCAGGTAGCTTACTCACTAACCTGACTTACAAAGAGGTTTAGAAAGATGAACTGCTTGTTGCATGCGTGCTAAATTGGAATTCTGCAAGGCATAGTGGCCTCTGTAAGATCCTGAGACTTTTGTTTTTTTTTTTAATTTTCCTACCTATAGTAAGTAGTATATTTTGTATCATGGCCTAGTTGTAAATATTTTAATATCTATGCAAAACAGTCCTTAGCCTCGGGGCTGGCACTGTGGAACAGCAGGTTAAAGCCCTGGCCTGAAGCGCCAGCACCCCATATGGGCACTGGTCCTAGTCTCAGCTGCTCCTCTTCCGATCCAGGTCTCTGCTGTGGCCTGGGAAAGCAGTGAAAGATTTCTCAAGTCCTTGTGCCCCTGCACCCACGTGGGAGACACGGAAGAAGCTCCTGGCTTCGGATTGGCACAGCTCCGGCTGTTGCTGCTCTCTGGGGAGTGAACCAGCTGATGGAAGACCTCTCTCTCTGTCTCTGTCTCTCTCTGTAACTCTGCCTTTCAAATAAATAAAATAAATCTTAAAAAAACAGTGCTTAGCCTTTATTATGTATGATGCAGTAAACTATTATTCTGTTCTTTTTTTTTTTTCCCACAGTAAATGCTTCTAGCTACTCAATAGATAGGTTTTAGAATTCCGTGGTTTGGCTATCATGGTTGTCTAGGTGTCCAAACTGAG